TTGTCTCGGCTCGGATTTGTCCTGACAGGCAGGGTCGAAGCAGCCCATCTCCAAAATGATATAACTTAATGTGTCAATATCTTCTAGCGGCATATTGATAAGGCAGCTTGTGGGTGCTCAGGCGTTGTTAGCTCTTTCTATTTCCCACTGTGTGTGATATGGTATGGGTGTTACACTCCTATTATTATTACCACTGTAGGGTCAGTGAAATGTGGGACTTCTCAATTCAACGTCCACCTTCGATTGGACCATGCTTCGAGGGCAGGAGCCGTGGAAACTATCCGAATACATCGAGTTTAAGTACACCCCGTTGGGGATTCGAAACAAGGTCTTTGACACAGCAGTTTTTTATTTCCCTCTTACTGTTGTCTAATCTGTCGTGAGCTTGTGAATCTGCAACGCGCTTTTTCCCTCATGAAGTAAAAGGTGCAGGCCTTTTATGCCCCCATCAATACCATTTGGATCATTCAGGGTGCAGGCTTCGACCCTGTCTGTTGGGGCCAACCCGGGTTGAGAGGGATACAACTTCATAGGAGAAATAACAAAAATTTTCCCTTCGCGGAAATCGAACTCGGGTCTTTAGCATGTGACGGGACGGCTACACCTCAGACGCTGGTGTTGTTTTTCCTGGGACGAAGAGGGAGGAGGGTGGGGCGGCTTAAAATGCCGTGTAATAATTGGAATTTCTTTATTGGGGTAAACTTCGGAACAAAAAGGAATCTTTTCAAAGCGAATAAACTGAAAGAAACTTGATAATATGCAACCCACCCTTGAAAACTCCACAAAATGACCCGAATTCAAGAATACTTAGTCTGAGATTCAAACCATGCAGGACCATCCGCTCTGAAGTCCAACTGAGCTAATTTTATAATTAAAATTAATTATAAATTTATCATTTTAATTTCACCGATTTTCCGCTGTTGAGGAACCCCACTATTATTTGAGGGAATGCGATACTGCCAAACTGTTTTTGACTGCTTTATTTTATCAAAATAAGTCGTTTTTACCTCCCCCCTCCCAAAAATCGACACACCTTAGATCGTTCAGGAGGCGAGCTTCCGACCCTGCCTGTCAGGACCAACCAGAGCTGAGAGGGATCATACAACATCCCAGAAGAAACACGAGACATGTTTAAACATTCTTCCTACTCGGGAATCGAACTTGGGTCTCCTGCATGCCGTGAGACAGCTCTACACCACATATACCGATTTTAAATAATTTCTTCATATAGCTTTTGGTTTGAGTAAAGAGTAAAATATCGACAAGATAACTGGGACAGACAGACAGGCAGACAGACAGACAGACAGAACAGACAGGCAGACGGACAGACAGACAGACAGACATAATATATACATACAAACAGACGGACAGACAGAAACATCGGGAGGG